AGTTTTTTTTTGCCTACAAACCAAAAAGCTGCAATATATGATTTTAACAAATAATTGTGTTACAAACCAGAGTTTATTCATGCGGAGGAAAATGAATGATCTGTCACTTGGATAAGAGTGATCTTCAGCCTCTCTGTATTTAAATCGGCTCCTACTACCATTGAAAATAAACCATGGACATTTCCAGCTTAAACTAGAAACACGTTGCAGTAGTGCCACAGAGAATGAGTTCTGACAAATGAGAAGAGGCCAGTGCAGATGCTGCTCTACTGGGTACCTTACAGGAATGCAGCTTGGTAGGCATCAGGCTGTAATGTCTTGCTGAATTTGCCTAGACCCGAAAAGTTCTGTGAGAATAGCAACATTACTTTAACTATTTACCTTCACTCTCTTGTTTTTGCGTATTTGGATGAGGTATCCTTTGTCATTCTCTAATTTTTCTTCATCTATTAAATGATTTCTGTAATCTTCTAAATAGGTGGTAGAGAGGAGGAGTTTTAGGGTTTTTTAGCAGCTTTTCTAGTTTATAACAGGATCTTAGTCGTAGACTCACATGTCAGTGTTATGGATCATCATTTGAAGCCATGTTTTCTATTAGTTATGAATTTTTTCTTGTTCAAAACAAGCAAATTAGCTTTTATAAGCTTTTTTTTCTTTTTGATGAATTTATAGAGGACACAATTAACAATGGGGCAGTTTCACCAGTAAAACTATGTCTTGCTACAGACTTAATGTGAAACAAGCAGAAGACCATGGTGCTGATTTTGCATTAAAGCAGGTCTGCGTTGCTGTGTTTCTAGCTGTATCTCAGTTTTCCAGAACTCTTGCAAAACTCTTGCTTCTTGTATATGCTACATTGCCTTGGTCCTCTAACAGTAGCATTGCTGCTTACTCCTTAAACAGTGTCTGAATCTGTAAAATGCTAAGTGACTAATCATCCCTGTGGAGAGGTAGGAGCTATCACAACTTATATTTGTAAACTGGAACACAGAAATGGTGATATGCCAGAGCTATACCAGAAACCTCTGACAGTGCCAGAGACTACTAGTCATGGTAATTCAAGACTAATCTTTTCCAGTAGGCATATAACACATCACTCTGAACCAAATTTGGCTTATTGTTTCTATGTAAAGTCTTTAGAATTTGCTTCTTGGGAATTTTTTTTTTTTCTTAATTTGCCTGTAAAGTGAAAAACTGTAACAGCTGACTCCAGGAAGATGTGGATTCTGTTTTGGGGGATTTTAAAAAAAGTTTGGGAGGTAGCTTAGTACCTCTTCACAAAGGGAAGCACTATAGAAACTGAATGTAACCAAAAATAAGCAAAATTTGAGATAGTAAGTATTGCAGCAGAAGGAATATTAGAAGCATAAAGCCCTTACAGGTAGAAATTTTAATTGAAAAATACTAGTTGAGTCCTAAAATACCAGCTAAACTCCAGTTTGTGAAGTGAAACTTAGCATGGTCTCTCTCTTTGGTGAGAAGTGGAGGAAAGCAGGGGAAAAATAACTGATTTCTTAGAAAAAAAAAAGGGTTCACTGAAATGATGAAGCTTACTTTTAATGTTAGAAATATTTTTCAGATTAAATATTTTCCTGTTATAGAATAGTTGCTCTTGATTGCTAAGCTGAGAAGGAAGGTCAGTTTGTTTCTGCTGCCGAGCAGAAAGCTCCTCCCTTTCCTTGAATGAAATGCTTCAGCTGTGCTCCAAATATCACACTGCCCATGTGCCTATGCTTGTTTAGTTTCCAGTTATTCCAGTTGGCCTGTTGAATTCAGTAGAGTTGTAGCTTTCAGAAGGAGGCCTTTTTTGAAGTTACACCGAACTTTCAGATCACTTGTTGGTAAAAGTCTCCCTCCTTTTGTGTAGCTGTGAAGTGCTGCACGCTTAACAGGGAAGCAAAGTAGGTCGGTGTTAGTCTAAGCAGGTGAAGGTTGTCAGTGGTTTTATCATGTTTCCTCAGCACTTCACGCTGTTGAAGCAAACAGCCTTACCAAGAACTTCGCTTCGGACCATAGTAACTAAGAGAAGCAAATACAAGAATGTGTGCCCACTTGGCTTTTTTTTTTTCTTTCTTTCTTTCTGAGTTTAGTGGGTAAATTACTTGTTCTGTCGTTGAAATGCTTAAGTGGTGTATCTTGTGTTCCTGATCTTATCTGTACTTTCAACTGCTTTGTTTAGCACAATTAGTTGTGGGGTTTTTTAACTGAAGTGTTTTGGGCCAAACAAAACTTCAGTCCTTTAGCTTGTAAAAGTCACTGCTTAGTTGTTCTCTAGAACAGTTCAAGTATTTAAAAGGAATAACTCTGTATGAACATGTATTTTGAAACTGTTGGAGACTAGAATATTAAAACTCATGTGTTTCAGTTTGTAAATTATTCTTAAAATTACTGAAGGGGCTTTTGCAGAGTTTTTTTTTCCCAGAACTTAAATTTCATGTTTGTTTTACAATTGCAATCCTGCTTACATTTGTTTTTCCTAGTTGAATTATTGATACAGTCTAATTTTCCTGTTATTTTAAAATACCCTGTTTTTATCTTGAGTACCGATTTCTTGTTTTTCTGAAGAAAGTACTTTTTGAAGAGCTCTCCAAGTCTCATGCACATACCTCTGAGAGTCCACTTTATGCTGTTTATTCATCCCTGTCTTCCTGCTACTTATGTTTATAATTTTCATAAACTGCATGAAGAGCTTTTTCATAGTTCTTAGTCCCTGTGTTTTTTAAATAGGTGATCTAATCATCTTCCCCGATGAAATCAAATAATCCAGTAATAACTACAAAACTACATTAAAATAGTAACATTTCTGTCTTTGTGCTTATTCTGTTGATGTAAGTTAAGGGACAAAATATCTTTTATGTCTCAGATTTTGGAAATGATTGAAGTTCTTAGAACTGGAAAATACAGTTAGGTGAGAAATAAGACAGATTAGCAAAACCTGCTCTATTTGTTAAGTGAAGGGAAAAAAGTAATCACAAAACCACCTTGAAAATAAAAAGCTTTCTGTCTGAAGCTTCTTACATTTCTTGTTTGCCTTTACATGGATAATATAAATGTAAATTTGCAAATATTTCTGGAGGGTACTGAACAACATATAGACCAAATAAGTGGTATTTTGTGGCAGAAATAAGTCTATCACAGAGATCCCCAATAATAACTGGAGAGTGTAGAGAAATGCACTCTAAACAGCTGTGATCATCTGCAAAGAGCTGTTGCCCACCCTTCTAAATAACACCAGCAGTGAAATGACCTGTAACACTAACTTCACTGTGCCATTGTGTATCAACACTGATTCCATTTTACAAATGGAATTTGTAAATTTTTTACAAATTTTTGTAAAATTCCATTTTACAAGATGGTCTGATTCCATACAAAACTGAACACTGCATAATTGCAAAGTTATCAAAAATCAAAATTAGCATGTATAGGGAGGGGAAATGTGGCACTCTCTTTTCGTTTTTTTTTTGATTGAGGGGGGTGTTGGCTGTTGGGGTTTTTTTTGAATGTGTGCACCTCTACATGTTGAAGTAGTGTTATTCTGTCTGTGTTGGCAGGAGCTGCCGTCTTACCAAAGAACAAGGTGTCTGAGTTACAGGGAACGTAATTTCTTTCCCTCTTTTAGTCTTGGCCTACGCTTCCTAAATTTGTGAATTTGTGAAATTTGAAGGGTGTATGTTAGGATCTTCCCAAGCAAAACAGTTAGCTATCTGTTCCAAATATCATAATAGGTATGCCTGGGTTTCTTAAATGTCTCACGAATTAATGGAAAGTTCTTCTTTTCATGGCTTGTATAGACTTGTAGCAAAATAACTTGTGTGCAACTGTTAATATATGGGACAGGGACTGAAGATTTTCTGTTTTCTCATGACTTCTAGATGACTTGATAAGTGAGATTTATAGAAGCTCCTGAAGTCAATTTTGGATTCAAAAGAGAACAGAGAAGAGAGGAAATTATCTGTTACATACTTCAACTGAAAGTGTAAAATTAATTTTTAAAGATACTGTCTAAAAAAAAGTAATGTATAGAGCATTTAAACAAGTTAATGCTGAGCTTTTTTGATTCATCACACAAATCTTGATACCACACAAGGAATCCTCCATTTGAAGTTTCTGTAATGAGGAGGGAGGGAACTGTTCCTGCAGCTCAGTTATTTGGAATTTTAAAAGGCGTAAGTGTCCTAAACTTGAAGTTTAAAATAAAAAGTACGGATATTTTGCATGATTCCACCACTTGTCGGCCTCTTTAATTTTCCTTGCTGCTTTTACCTAAACAAAGTATATCCATACTGGTGGTAGTGGGGAAAATGAAACTGAACGTCTGTGGTGTTGGTGAGTGTGGTTTTTGGGGTTTTTTTTGGGAGGGGGGTTGTTTGGGTTTTTTTGCGTTTTATTTTTAACTCTGAGTTTTAATATCAGTTACCTACATAGTGCCTTCTGGTTTATGAAGACTGATTGATAGCTTGTTTTCTTCCAACTTCAGGCTTCTCTAGCTGGGACTGAATCCTTGAAAATCTTGATCAGAAAGTGGTTCGAATTTGCCCAGTTCAGGCTCTGTCCTGCACTTCTTTCTGTTCCTTCTTC